TAAAACAACAAACTGACGATTTATATATAATCATTTGTAATTGTATATACATTGTTGTGATTAATTGTGGCTGGAACAATAATGTAGCTGTAAAAATAGTTGCTTGCTGAAATTGAAATGTATATACATCTTCATCATGACTAGATAGACACGGTGAGTTTGTCTTTACTTTACACGATAGATGTGATTCACCTCATAGTAAAAATCATGTCAGATCATCCATCCTTTGAGTGAGCGTGTAAAGTTACAGGTCGGCCGATCTGGTTTTGTGGTTAAAGTTAACCTTTTCGACATGTTTCCGCAATGTTGTCTGGGGGTTTGGCAAAAGGAGAGTGGGACGGTGGGCGGTGCTCGGGGTGGTGACTGAAGGAGGTGACTGTAGTTCTGACATCAACTTTTTACGGAAGTCACAACGGTTCGTGAAAAATCACAGCTACTTTATGCAGGCTGTGTGCATTTTACTGTGGACTGACTGTTTTGAAACTTATATGGTAGTTACATAGCACCTAGACCTCAGTTATCATGAAAAAAGCCAGGAAATTTCAGTTTTGACAATATGGGACCTTTAAGTTTTGACCGTCTATCAAAGGCAGGAATGAAGTCAGATTGTAAACTCATTTGCTGCAGTTTACAGAAATTCAAACGTATATATAGTACATCAGGTCTTTATCAAATAAACCTCTTTGAAATGTCAACTTTTCACTAGTAAAGTTCTGTGTTTATTTATTTATAATCTGAATAGATTAACACAGATATTGAAGTCTAATATTACCAATACTTCAGCTGTCACGTAATATATATATATATATTTCAAATTGAGAATATTGAATTTTGTTGCATATTAGCATCCAATAATTTATTTACACATTATTTTAATAAGTGGTGACAGAAAATTCAGTGAATGTCACATACTCATTTGACCTTGAAATAGCAAAACCATCCCATCACTGATTCTTGAGAAAAGAGAAAAAATGCCCCACAACTTCACCTCCCATTAGTTTTAATTTTAACAGAAAAACAGTGTTTTTGAGCGATAACAGTGATATTGAGTGATGAACAGACAAGAAAACAGACCTTTACTGAATACAATAAGTATTGAATTATTAATATATAATCATTGAAAATTACAATATTTACATATTATCATATTCTAATAGTTAATTAAATTGTTAATGATAACTTTCTGTTAAATGACGCTAAAGATTTGGCAGCAACAAATGAAAATACATAATCCAAGGATAAATATCAGTGTCGTAAAGTTTTTGTGTCTTTAAGCTGCACCCTTAAAGCAGTGCCACACCCCCCTAAGCCTTTTCAGTTCCCTGTTAGCCCCAAGCTCCACCCACCCAATCTCAAGCCAATTAGAACTATCTCACAGACTATTACCTGCACCTGTGTCCACAGCTTGCGCTTTTTTGTTGCATGTGGTTGTACTGTGCAGAGGACTGAGTTTTACACCTTTCATTCTGTTTTTCCTGCGTGTGCGTAATTGACCATGTAAGTGCCTTTGTGTGATGCTAAATATGATTTTGTATGACTTAAGTTGGGCCTAAATGTGTTTATTTTCATGCTTGCTCTAGTTCCTGTTTAAGCATGCGCTTTAGTTATTTAATGTGCAGTTGATGGAATATTGTGGTTGCCTTGTACCTTATTTAGCACAGTTTTTTTGGTAAACTGAAACTCTGTATATCTGTTCTCTTTATAGAAACCACACACACAAACATCTACATGCACAAAACCTCCTTTGAAGTACAATAAACTTTCTTATACCTGGTTTGACTAGACTGGACCTGTTCTTACCGACAGCGCCACTGGCTTCGAGCTAGCTACCTAAACATCTTCAGCCTCCTTATCATGGTTTTCCTTTTCATGGTCTAAAACTAAATCTTCCTCCAGGTGGCGCTCAGAGCTGCACTCAAATGTCTTTATTGAAACAGTAGAGGTCTGCGTTGTGCCTCATTTAGATCAAGGTCAATGTGTGTTTATACAAAGTGAAATTAAGATTATAAGAGAGAAAGAGTTTACAACTTTGTGAGTTAAAGAGAGGGATAATGTGAATGTGAGTTTCTTTGTGTCACTCAGCTGTGCGTCTCAGTTGTTTCTCACAGGAAGCTGTTTGATCTCACACAGAGACACTGAAGTATCAGAATAATAAAATCTAAATCCAGCATAGAGGGGTTCAGTGAATATGGTGTTGAATGTGTGTATGTGTGCGAGTGTGTGTGTGTCAGAGATGTTGTAGAAGGACAGAGTACCGGCCGACCAGTCCAGATACACTCCTACTCTGTTAGAGCGATGTGAAGGGACAGATATGTTTGTATTCTTATTATTGTGCCACAAAGTAAAACTGGTATATGAGCAGTTTAGACTCCAGGAAACGTCATTGTATCCAAACCACGAGTTCTCACCATGTCCTTTCCTGCTGTTTCCTTTATATGCCACTGATATATTAACCCCTCCACCGCTCCATTCGGCCTCCCAGTAACAGCGTCCAGTCAGACTCTCTCTACACAGAACCTGATGACACTCAAATCTCTCTGGATGATCAGGATATGGCTGCTTGTCTCTCACACGTGTCACCTTTCTGTTCCTCTCAGACAGAGACAGGTGAGTGTTTGCTGTGTTTGGATCCAGTGTAAGATTGCATGCATCTGAACACGAGAGATTATTACATTTGTAACATACACACACACACACACCAAAAAAAAAACTATGATCAAAGGTATTTGTGTGTGTGTGTGAGAGAGAGTGAAAAAGACTTACATTTCTGTAGTCCTGCTGTAATCCTGAACTCTCCTCCATGATCCACACTAAAAGAAAAACAAAATATTAAAAAATATATAAAATCAAAGTGATTATCTGAATCTCTATTATAACATCAAACATTATTTTTTTCTCATTTAGTCTATGATTTCTGTGTTTGTATCTTCAATCTCTTTTTGCTCTCAAACAGCAATGAGAATTTACTTTCTAGATTAGCAGCAAGCTTTAAATTTATGTTTTGGGATCAGAGACTGGAGTCTGTTTCTCGGTTGCTGCTGTTATGAGTCACAAGCAGCTGTTGAACTGAATCAAGCAGTGTTGTTTAAAATATGCAGATGTCATACTTAAATAAAAGTAAAGATCAAGTTTCTGTTGGAATATGTAAGAGTTAAAGTATACTTCACCCAAAGATTAAAATTGTTCATCATTTACTCGCCCTCATATTGTTGCAAAACACAATATGTTTTGAAGAACAAGTCTATGTTCATGCAATGAAAGTTAAAGGGGTCAAAAAAACTTAAATATTTTAAAATATCTTCCTTTATGTTCCACAGAAAAGAACTGAATACAGGTTGGAAACATCATAAGACTTGGGTCTTTATGCAACTATCCATTTTTTATGTATTCAAAGTACTTAAGTACTTGTGTTGTGTTATAAATGTTACTATTTGTTTATCACATGGCATTAAGTTTTTTTTTAGACATTCTTCAGTACACCTAGTCAATTACTGATTCATACACAACACCTCTGTTAAATGCTTGGTGAGCGTATTTTATTATTTGACTGACATTAATTTGCTATTACAAATCAGTGAAATATAAAAGTTAACAAATATCCATACTTGAGTAAAGTAGAAATATCCAAAACTGACCGTAATTACAAAGAATTTATACTTTATTATAATCCTATGGAATCAAGATAATCTTCAATCACAGAGTTCAAACATCATTATTTTCCTGTGCAGTATGTATATATGTGCTGTATGCATGGATCTATATACAGGTGCAATCAAAATTATTCAAGACTGTAATAATTAACAAATGTATGCTTTTCTGAAGATCAAGAGCTTTTTAAAAATATTATCTATAGTTAAGTGGCATAATAATGGTGATAATGTAACTATAAAGTAATATTTTTAAGTTACAGGAATTGTGTAATACAGATATTTCATAATTATTCACCCCATATTCAACATGGATGTTTTTAAGCCACTTGTTTATATAGTAGGGCACAAAGAAGGTTCCTTGAGACATTTATTTCATTGTAGAGTACAAGAAAAACACTAAACAACCATGGCCTTCATGTCAGAACACCTCGCCAAATGCCACTCTTAAGAAGAAGAGGTTATAAAGAATAAAAGATTCTGCACAAAATTTGATTTTTGGGGATTGTATAATTTTGCACATCAATGTTTAGAGTATATTAGATTTATTTTAAACAGTGTTTCAATGTTTAGAGTAAATTAGGTTTACTGATGCATTTGTTTGTTAGTTCTCAGCAGCAAAATGTCTTTTAGGTCAGTGGGGTTAAATAATTTTGATTGCAGCTGTACATGTGAGTTTATAGTGCACACATGTACAAACACAAATGACAGGATGGTTGTTAGTGTTGAACATACTTGAGTTTGTCCAGTCTGTAGTTTGGATCAGAGAGCAGCTTGACTAATGATTGTCCTGGGTGATTGTAACTCAGATCCAGCTCTCTCAGGTGTGAGGGGTTTGAACTCAGACCTGAAGCTAGAAAACAACAGCCTTCCTCTGTCACCATACAACCAGATAACCTACAAACACACATACACACACACACACACACACACACTCACTCTCAACATCACATCATCTGGGACTGGAGATCATCTTAAACTGATTCATACACGGCTGTGTTCAGATTCCTGTAACTCTGATGATTGATTCAGTGTAGCGTTTTAACCACAGATCACTGATTACAGTTCAGTTCAGCGTTTTACTCAATGTCACAGTGTTGATGGAGCAGAATTGATCTCAATAACAATTTCTGTTCATCTCCACTTCTCACAAACATAAAAATTTAATCAGTGAATAAATAATTTTCAAAAACAACGGGTTTCAGACACACTGGATTCTGCTGATTCAAACACCTAAGAGATCAGGACCAGAGCAGAGGGCATCTTTAATTTCATAATCAAGTAAATCTTTATCTGTTTTTCTTACTTCAGTATGTTGAGTTGACAGTTTGAACTCTTCAGTCCATTAGAGAGCAGCTTCACTCCTGAATCCTGCAGGTCATTGTTACTCAGGTCCAGCTCTCTCAGTGAGAAGTTTGATGATTGTAGAGATGAAGACAAACTTTTACAGCACTGACCAGTGAGATTACAGCCAGCAAGTCTAAAACACAGGATGAAATACAGATCAATAATAAAGAGATGGTGGGATAAATATTTTATGTGACTAATATTCTGTCGTTCATCAGATGGTGAACTCTAAATATTGACTGGAAATATAGCCAAACAGAGTTGTACATCAGCATAACATATGGGTTCATGTAGCTCTATTGGCAATTACAATGCTTAAATCAGAGGTTCAATTCCCACACATAGGCCTACATGTACTGATAAAATGTTAATAATGAATGTACAATTTCACCCATGATAAAATCTGATATATAACAGGAAATGCATGTAAACACATATCATGTAGCAGAAATGTCTACTCATCTATACTTGGATATTTGCAATTCTTTTGTTGTTAATTGTTTTGTTGTTGTTTCAAGAAACCAAAAATATTTTTAAAACAACAAGCTGGAGCAATTACAAAGCCAAAGTATTCAGACACATTGGGGTCTGCTGATATATTACAAACTCCCAAGAGATCAGGACAGAGCAGAGGACATCTTTAATTTCACAACCAAGAGAACCTTTAGTTTTCTTACCTCAGTGTATTGAGTTGACAGTGTGAACTCTTCAGTATATCAGAGAGAAGCTTCACTCCTGAATCCTGTAGGTCATTGTGACTCAGGTCCAGCTCTCTCAGTGAGTTTGATGATTGTAGAGATGAAGACAAACTTTCACAGCACTGATCAGTGAGATTACAGTCAGCAAGTCTACAACACAGGATGAAATGTGTTTATCTTAGCAACACATATTCAGTGTTCAAAAACACATGGCTTCAGAGTCACAGTCAAGTAATAAAGAGAAAGTAGGACAGATAAAATCCAAAAGAATTTTGGCTATTACTGTTACTCCAAGCTGTATACAACTAACAACACAATGTGAAATTTCAAAAGATAAACATTCATTTTAAGGGTCAGAAGAGGTTCAAAAAGAGTCAAAACAAAAAACTAAATGACTTTCTTTTGTACAAAAAAACCTTGATTACATATTAGTTGAAATGGCTGAATGGAGTCGTGATTTGATGGAGGAATTAGAATGTTGCTGTGTCTGAACAAGACATACATTCAGTTTCATCTTTAATAACATGAATTGATACTCACAGAGCTTTTCTGCAGTTCACCACAGCTGGTATCAGTCTCCTTCTACCCTCATCTGATGTGTTGTATTTCTTCAGATCAAACTCATCCAGCACCTCCTCTGATATCTGAAGCATGTAGGTGATTGTTGAGCAGTGAGACGGAGAGAGTTTATTCATCAAGAGTTTCTCTGATTTCACAAACTCCTGAATCTCTCTGTACAGAGTCTGATCCTTCATTTCCAGCAGACAGAGGAACAGATTGATGCATCTGTCAGCTGAGAGACCTACATCACTCTTGATTGCATATTTAATGTCTTGTATGATTCTCTTGATGGTCTCTGAGCTGTTCACTGTGTGTCTCAGTAGATCCTGTAAGAGTCTCTGATTGGACTTCAGTGAGACACCCAGCAGGAACCTCAGGAAAAGATCCAGGTGCCCATTTTCACTCTGTAAGGCTTTAACAGCTGCTGAGATTAGTAGATCATACAGAGAGAGACTGTACTGCCGGCATATTTTATTCAGAAATGACTTCAGTGATTCTTTGTTCTTGGTGATATGACAGTAAAACACAAAGAAAGCAGCCAGAAACTCCTGAAAGCTCAGATGAATGAAGCAGTAAACTTTCGTGTGATGAATCACAGATTCCTCCTTAAAGATCTCAGTGCAAATCCCAGAATACACTGAGGCGTCAGTGACATCTATACCGCTCTCAATCAGGTCCTCCTCATAGAACATCACATTGCCCTTCATCAGCTGTTTGAAAGCCAGTTTAGCAAGTTTCACAATCACATCTCTGTTGGACTTCAGGGGTTTCTCTGGATCTTTCCCATCATACTTCTGACTCTTCATGTTGATCTGAGTCAGCAGGAAGTGGATGTACATTTCAGTCAGAGTCTGAGGGATTTCTGCACTGTCATCTTGTTTCAGGAGGTTTTGAAGCACAGTGGCTGAGATCCAGCAGAAGACGGGGATGTGACACATGATGTGGAGGCTTCTTGATCTTTTAATGTGTGAGATGATTCTGCTGGCTTGATGCTCATCACTGATTCTCTTCTTGAAATATTCCTCCTTTTGAGGCTCATTGAATCCCTGAATTTCTGTCACACG